TGAGCTGTGGTCTAACAGGAGCTTGAAAATAATCTGATTGACAGGCTGCATGTTTTCATTAGCTTTTTGTCATGACAGACAGGAGATGACTCTGCAATGGATAACAAATGATCCTGGGTTCTGGACTTACTGTATGAGTGGATGGTAGCCATTATATTATCTCCATTCCCTCCCCCTGCCCCAATTAGTCTTTTCTGCCAAATCTTTGCATGGAGGACTGCATTTTTGAAAAAAGCACCTTATGCTTTTCACTGGCTTGGTGATTTATGTCTCCTTTTCCTTGCACTGAGACAATATCCTCTTCTTCATACTGTTCATCCCAATATATACTAATTTAGGAAGTGTCTCCTTTTTGGCAGCATACAGCTAAAATTGCCATTGAAATTTCTTTCATGTTTTTATTCCCACTTTTCCAGAGTTTGAGTTATGTGTTTGCTTGTCAGCTTCTCTCCATGCCATGGCTTGGAATAGTAGTCGAAACAGCAACCTGATTATTATAGCATGCTGTGTTAGAGCATTTTGTGTTTTCTGTTTTGATTTTGAGTTACTGGCTATGCAGAGTCGAAGTATTAGATCTTAAACTGGCAAAAAATATGAGTTGCTGACAATGTATTGGTCAAGAAGCATTGCGGGTTATCTGTTAGGAACATGATTACTCGTCCTCCTTTTTTGTCATGCAGAAGGCAGTAACGACTTTTGCGGGTTTGGCAGTGTGTTTTGCCCTTGGGACAGGAACTTCTGGAAAAGCTTGAGGCATTGTAACATTCTTTTATACAATAATAATAATAATTTTAGATGTTAGATCTGAAGATTTGCAGCTGACCTTTTCCAAGAAATACCTACTTGCATAGACAATAAGATCTCATTTAGAGTGGCTGTCAGCTTAGTGATTGTGAGCTTAAAAATAAAAGATTCTCTATATATCCTGGTACATCAGGAAGCGAAATAACAATAATGATATAAAACGTCTTTTCTCTCCTCAATTTGGACTATGAGCATCCATCAGTCTGGATTTTGGCTCATTGCATGTTTGTGCACCAATGTTTGTGCTTCAGAATTCATACAATTACAGATACTTGTTTACACATAGTTCTCTCTACTTAGAATTTTTTAAAAATATAGAAAAATCTGTCATATTGGACAAAATTTAAACTCACAAATATTAGACATTTAATATTAGATAATACAGATGTTAATAAAACAATAATTTCACAGAGATGCTACAAAGTATTAACCACATTGGGATTGTAAGGGAGTGGGAACAAAATTCTAAGTATTCTTTACATGCCCTTGTTATTATTAAACATGTGGTCTCCTAAGTCTGAATATTTGTATTTTTCTAATGTTATAAAATCACACTTAATATAAAATGTAAAAGCCAAACCCTGACTAAAGTCAATAAAAATGATTCTATTTATTATGACCTTCTAACACTGCTTTCTTTGGTTAGACATATCTTGTTCCTGATCTGTATGACAATGAAAAACCAGCTAATATAGGACTAAATTTAGGAAATGTTAGGGGCAAATGTGGCTTATATTCTACATATATACATTTGAGTTAGTTCTGAAGTAATTTTATTAGGCTTTCAGTTGGGTCAGGTCTGAATTTTTCTAAATATTTGAAAGTTACGCAGAATCAAAATGTAGTCATCCAAAGAGTTACTTAAAAACATGTTTTCAGCAACTATATAATCAGCATAGCATTCCTTCCCCATCAACTTCCTTGTCAGTAATCATTATCTTCTTTAAAATAAGCAAAGAAAAACAAAATCAATGCTTGTAGCCTATTTCTTGGGGCCACCCTATTGCAGGGTTTGTGTTTATGTCCTAGCAAGTGCCTTGATTGGATGCCCTTTTTCACGATGAAAGTGCATGGAATGAGTGTGGTGGTTTCAGACGATGTCACGGTTTAGCTCTGTGGAACACAAAAATTTTGTATTACACTTTTCAGTCTTGCCCTGCTTCACTGACAAATACTCTTTGCATCATTGACCTTAGTAGTAGGAGTTTGCCTAGGAATAATTGTTCACATCTTCATTGTTTGCTAGGCTGGAATGTTATCATTATAATGTAAATTAAATGCATTATAAATGGCTGTGAAATTATATGGTATTTTGTACAAAACAGTCTTACTATAGTGAGTTAATTTTGGTTGATGTTTAGAACTCTGAATGGAAAAATAGCAAAATATTCATTGGGACAGGTTCTAATTAACTTTTCAATATTTGATATTTACTGAGCTGGTAAAGATGCTTCCTATTAAGGAGTTGAAATGAGGTGGAGAGAAAGGTTGAAGAGAACCTCCAAAGTCTCACAGTTTCAATGTACTTTGAATGAATTTAGTATTTGGATGTCTAAGGAGAAGCATCTGCTTTTTAAAATTATTTTGGTTTAACTGAAACGTGTGTAGTAAATATAATTGTTTCAATTAGAATGGTACAAAAGATTTTTGATACGATGACTTGGTGGGCAGATTGGATAACTCAGGAAGACCTTACAGTAGGCATGTAAGGGATCAAAGTGCGCACTGTCAGAGTTTCAGGTCCAAACCTGGCTTTTGGTAGAGAATGTAAGTGTGCTGAGGTTTTTTTAGACTTCTGAAATGCAACCTTTGATCAAGGTGGCCAGCTTTTCCACTGCTTATGTTATAATCTGTGCATCTGTGTACAGTAAATGATATGGCCAATCATCTATTTTCCTTGCAGAAGGAGTTAATCTAAAATCCTGGAACAGACGACAAATCTGGGAGTTTGTAAGGTGACAAATCTCTGAGTTTATTTGCAAAATGGTCTTTTTTTGGGTGATGCTTACTGCAACTTCTAAGGTGCCATTACACTAATTTTCTTTAAAATCAAAAACTTCCTCTGATGTGTTTTTTGTGTCTTTTGTATCTCTAGTATAAAAGAGCAGGTTTTTAATTGAGCTGGAGTCTAGCTGTCAGGTCTAACACTGTTTTTTACTGCAAAACAAGGTTCTCACCTTCTCCTCCTCCATTTCCTTACTTCACAACATTGAAAGCCAACTCTGAAGAGAATAAGGCTGGTTTGGATAATGTTCAGAGAACAGATCAAATCAAGGTCTCTCTTTGTGATATATAGGTTATGGCACACATTTCTTAGTGAAAATGTCTTCACTGATTGTAGATGTTTCTAAAAAATTAATCAGGGTGTCTTGATGCTACAAGCTTTTGGTAGCAAGAAGACTGTATTCCTACTGTTAGGATGAAAATATTATTTATTATGTTAAGTTGTAGAAAGTTATTTAAAGACTTAGGGTTGGTTGGTTTGTGTTTGGGGGTTTTTTTCCCCATTTTTCCCTTGTCGTCTTTCTAGCCTGAGAATATTATCTTTTGATGAGACTATTTACTTCTGTGCATTTTGCTAGATTTGCAGTGCCTGCCTTTCAGGGAAACAAGAATTATTAAAGCAGGCATTTTAAGAGCTAGCACAATTCAAGTAACACCCATTAAGTCCTTTAACAACCTTTACAAGTATGAATCTTTGAAGCATCTCTGGGAAATGAGGAGTGACACAGAATACTGCTAACCTATTATACATTAAAAAATCAGAAGCACAGAGTTTTAACTACTTGTTCAAAGACACATGAGCTAATTGGTGGTAGCACAGAACTGAAAGCCGGATCTTTGGATTGTTAGTTGGCTTTCTGGTTCTCTAAACTGTTATTTTCTGACTGGCGTTGGAAAAGTTTTGCTCTTGCGATTGTGATGATCCTGATGGTTAGACACATTAATGTGGCAGTGCATTAATGTGTCTAATGTGCCGGCATTAATGATGGCATTGCAGTGCTGTCATCATTTGGGCTTTGAAATATCTTAAAGGGTATTGTTGGCTTTGATGACAGTTGTGTTTAAATGCTCAGGTGGAGGTCAGTGTTTTCCTTGAAAGAATGAAGTTGAGGCAATGCCTTCAAATGCTCGGAGAAGCATTGATAATGAGCTGTGAGCGCAAAAGTGTGTGACTGGGTTTGACGTTGTTCAGTGTGTTATTGTTAAACATATCTTTGCTCATCTGTTATAGTGATAGTGCTTTGGTAACTACTGATGAAAATTCTTCCTCTTCCCTCTCTCCCTGTTTGTTATGGTAGAAAAAAATCTCAGTCATCTAAATAATAATGAAAATTGCACTGATGTGTAATGAAAATAAAAGCTTGAGATGAGAAAAAATTATGTTTCCTACGTAGGTTGCATTTTGCAGATCCTAAGCAAACACTGCATGAGAAATAACTACATGACTTTCATTTTTGTTACATCTAAGTTGCCGAATGCAATTTGGCGTGCTGCCTGTGTATAACTTTCTCCCAAATCTTGAAAACAATTTCCCATTATTTCGGCCTCTCAAAAAGATCTGCCACACTAAATGCAGAATGCATTGAAGTAAGCATAGGGACAGATGTGCATATTGTTTTATAAGTTCTGTGGTGTGGAGTACATTCTATTTTGAACTGACATGGATTTGCAAACTCAGTTTGCTCAGTGTTCTTTTATTCATCTGATGAGCATATCTTCTGTTGCTGTAATGGCCAGCATGTAAAAATGAACCTGTGTTCTTCAAATGTTGTTGCTGCAGACACCTGGTTCATGTCAACACATTTACTTTTCAATTTGTGTGCGGCAGGATTTTTAAAAATATTATTTTGCAAGTGTTTGCAAATACTATGATCTTAAAAAAAAAATCTGGATTTTGATTAAATTTTAACATTTTAAAAACCATATTTATAAACTTGGGAGACTGGAGGTAATAAAATCCATAGTTTGGGGAGGTTGCTAATCTGAATTAAGCAAATTTAAACACACAAATAGTTTTTATTTCTGGAAAATACTTTTGATTTATGCATGTAAAATTTGATTTACAAAGGACTTCTTTCCCCCTTGAATCAGGGCAGTATGTAGTGGAACAGTGCTGACTGAAGGTCAAATATCTGATTGTAATTTGTTCTCTGGCAGGTTCAGACAAGAATCTGGTGGTCTTTCCTTGACAAATGGAGAACTATTTCCAAGCAGAGGCATATAACCTCGATAAGGTTTTAGATGAATTTGAGCAAAACGAAGGTGAGTCATTTTGAACAAGATCATAGATGCATATTAGATGTATTCTATAGAGAACACCATTGAAAAGGGAGACATCTGTGATACCCTTTTTGGTTTTGAGTTGCAAATTAATCTCAGAACTTGTTAAAAACATCTGTTAATTTTGCATGGTGTGTCTTTAATATTTGTTAGTAGTATTCTCTTCTGTTCCTATTCATCTTGTTTTCTTTTTAAAAATTTCTTTTAATAGAAAATCTTCCACACATCTTTCAAAGAAAGGTTTTGCGAAGCTTAATCTCAGTGGCAATATTTTAATAATTTTTTTGAAACAACTTAGGCAAAACTTATTTTAAGCTTCTTTTGCAGTTTTGGGAGACTCAAGCATAGAAATGTTTTGCTAGGTCACATAAATCATATACTGAAAGTTGGCATATTTGAAGTATTAAATTTTCTGCTTAGTCTAATTGCTACTTTTGTGCTGTCAAGGAAGTTGAACATTTTGTGGAAGTGGGAATCTTTCTAGGCATTTCTAGCTGTCTAAAGTGTATTAATCAATAGTTTAAAGTTGCTTGTGCAAATTCAATGTGATATTAATTGGTGTAGCTCTAAATTCTTGAGTTCCAGAAACATTATGCAATTACACTACTAATGGATGACCAAGGCTGTTAGCTATGACAGATGTGTTTTACTCTTGTACCCATATTTGAACATCTCTGTGTTTATATTTGGGGCATTCTAATGCAACAGAGTTAATAGAACCTGTAGCATTAATAGGACAGTAAGTTCTCTTATTTAAACACTTTTTCAGATGCCGCTGTTTCACCTACTCTATTGGGTGCAAAGTGGAATCAGATTCTAGATCCGCCTTCTCGTTGTCTGTCATTTAACCCGACTGTGGCCAACGTGAATGAAGCTACAACGCCTAATGAATGTCAACAGAGACTAAAGTCTTTCTCCTTGTCTCATTCAGTGACTACACCAACAGGAGGAGGGGATCACTGTGCTAATGGAAAGGATTTTAGCATAAGCCCAGAAACCCCAATCATGTGGATTGATGATCAGGCAGCAGCAGATGATCAATTGATTAAAAGAAACAGTAATCGGGATGATCAGTGTAACACTGTGGAAACGGGAGAAAAGAAATGTGGAAATATAGCTTGCTTGCCAGAGGAGAAAAATGTATTAGTGGTGGCAGTCATGCATAACTGTGACAGAAGAACACTACAAAGTGGCGATTTGCTGGATTGTAAAAATTACAACAGTCAGTCCTTAATGGACACTATTAGCTTTACACTGGATAATGAAAACCGACAAAGTGATCAGTTTAGTGTTACTGTAAATGGTTCCATGGAAAAAGATATAGATACAGAAAAGCAAGTAAATCAGCTGTGCACTGAAGATGACTCTGTAAGTCATTTGATTAATGCTTCATCTGAAAGCCTGACGGTTGCATGCCCCTCTTCTGGATTAAAGGATGATTTTAATATGAGTAAAGATTCACCATTTTCAGAAGCTACAACTGCAGGGATTAACGCAGTGACTCTCTTACAGAGACCAGTTGATGGTACCACTAAAATGCAAGAAAATTGTGCATCAGTTGAAAATTTTACTGGTAAAGCCATTCCTCAGAGAACGGATCTAGAAGCTAAAAACTCTTCTGATTCAAGTAATGGAAGCTTAATCGTAGAACAGGAAACAACCCAACAGTTACAGTCCAGGCTGTCTGGGCTCACCGAGACTTGTCAGCCGGACGTGGCTGGAAGTGGCAATTACAAGGAATGTGTTGCAGAACATTTCGCCCCTGAGGTTGTTAGTGCCACTGAAAGTGAAGTCATTGAATGTGATAAAAATCTTGGCACAACAGAATTGCTCAGCATGGCAGAGTGTTACCCTGAATCTCAGGAGATCACTAATTGGGAACTGACAAAATTGAATGAAACTCTGGGAGAGAATGGAAGACTTTTGCAGACGAAACAGCCTGATGAGACATGTAGTAATAGTAAAGAAGGTGGAGATGGGATGATGGAGGCAGGCATAGACTTAAAAGGGACTGGTATAGATGAACTTGAAGGGTCCAGTCTCTCTGATGTGATGGCTACATCAGCAGCAAGCTCTCTGTCTAATGGTTGTGATTCCTATGGAATGCAGAACCCAGTTGTTGCTCATGTTCCAAAGACTCTACCCTCCAAGGAAGACTCAGTAACAGAGGAAAAGGAGATAGAGGAGAGCAAATCAGAATGTTACGCTAATGTTTATGAACAGAGAGGAAATGAGACATCAGAAGGGAGCGGTCTTATTTTAAACAGCACTGGTGACCCCATAAAGAAAAATTATTTACATAATCTTTGTAGTCAGGTTTCATCCATGCAAGGGCAAACTTCACCAAAACCAGTGACTAATCTGCAATCTATCAGTGTTCCTTTTGGTGGTGCAAGACCTAAACAACCTACAAATCTTAAACTGCAGATTCCGAAGCCATTGTCGGACCACTTACAAAATGATCTTGTTCCCCCAAATTGTGGAGGTAATAGTAAAAACAAAAATGTCTTTGGTAAGATGCAATTAGGGGATACAGCAGATGCGTTTCCTGGTGAAACCTCTTTAAATGCCTCTGTTACTGATACTAATGGGGAACATTTGGAAGAGTATGAATCTGGAGTCTCTAGTAGTCCGTGCCTTGCAGTAGCCCCAGATAGTCCAGATAATGATCTCAGAGCTGGTCAGTTTGGAGCTCAAGCCAGAAAGCCTTTTACAACTTTGGGTGAGGTGGCTCCAGTTTGGGTTCCAGATTCTCAAGCACCAAACTGTATGAAATGCGAGGCCAGATTTACATTCACCAAAAGAAGGCATCATTGCAGAGCTTGTGGGAAGGTAAGTTCGTATTTTCTGAGTAAGCTCAAAGCACCCTTTTTTTTCCTATTACCACATAAAATCAAATCAGAGGACTTCCTAGACACTGGTTATAGTTACCTGTGACATCTCTTCCTAAAAAGCTGCATTTCATTTGTGAAGGAAAAAAAAAAAGGCGTTTCTAAGCTCTAATCTCTTCAGGGTTCTAACAGAGAATAACTAATTGTTATTTATAACTGTAAGAATGATTAGCCTGTATAAGCAGTGTGTTTGTTGATTGCAACAATCAACACCATTGGATTCATGTAGAACTGCTATAAAATCACTAAGTGCAGGAAACTAGTTTGCAGAAATTACTGCATCAGTAATCCCGTTAAAGATTACTGAAACATATTGGTGGGAATTGGAAGTGTCCTGTCGAATTGCTGGC